TAATGTATACATTAGCGGCAGCAACGTTACGATACCACATAATGTATACATTAGCGGCAGCAACGTTACGATACCACAGATAGTAATATAAAACATATCTGTACTAGTTGGAAACTGAAAACACTTTGTATCACTGCCACAAACTCCATATTGTCAGGTAATCTTTTCTATTTATCAACTCATCTCATGCTTAATAAGTTGATGAGCAATGTGTGTGTTGAACGAATTCAAGTAAAACTTGTGTAGTTTGCATTTATTTACAATTGAAAAGTCCAGGTAATTTTGCCAAGTCTTTGGAGGATAATCTCAAAATACCCCCAGGTATTCCTCAAGACAACCCCAAACAATATCCTTCAATTTGACTACTGCAATCCACATAATAATTAATATCTCCATCCCAAAAGCATACCATGGTCTGAAAACCCAAACTATACATCTAATGCTATCAAACAAAACATGCTCAGCTTTACCTTCAGTCTTTATTCTTTAGGGTCTTAATGTTACTTGACAAACACAGGAATTTCTCCTAGTTAAGACTTTTGAAAGAATAAAATTTTAGTGCACTGTTAAAGTACTGTTGCACATCAAAAGCAGTCATCTTATAAGTGGTCTGGAAGTATGCTCTCCCATAAAAAGGAACAATCTGATACATTTCCTGGACCAATATGATGTTGAATTTGAGATGGATCCAGCTGGTCATCCAACCACAATGCATTATTGAAAGCTACTATAGTAATGAAAATGGGAGATGTTTTTTTTACTAAAGCATGTGAATATGAGAACAGACTCAAATACATCAGTCTCATGCACAATGGATGAGTGTTCGTAGCACTGCATACTGTAAAGTTTCCTAATATATTACTCATGTATGCAGTGCACTAAATTATAGATCAACATGTAAACAGGATATATTCAGTTATTCACTGGCACAAATTTAAATATTTTTAAAAACATTCATGGATAACAGATGGCACCACATTCTTGGAAACCTTTACAGGTGCCATATATTACTTACTGCAGATGAAACATTCTAGAATTCAATATTTTTTTAATGCATTTTTTTCTAAAACTTGTCGCTCTATATTATTTCTAAGTATACATAGAAAATTAAAACTAATCAAAACTATGTACATTTGTTCTATCTTTGTGTACTACCAGGCTTTACCAAATTAACCAAACTGTTTTCAACTTGGCATCTTTCAAGTCTTTCCTACACAAATATGTCAACGGTGTAATATAATTAAGGTATTCTGTGTTTCTTCTATGACTCCTGACATGGGAACCGTTTTATTAATACACTAAAAATTGTAAAATCAAAATAACTTATTTAATGGAAACTCTGTAGTAAAATGATCATCTGCGGCCTAGTGTTGGGGAGATAAGACAAAGCCTTTTCTAGAGCCCTTACACTCTGTTTAGGCAGGAATCTAGTTGCTGTTTAACTCTCTCAACATGGGCTCGGTAGATTTTACTGACCATGTGACCTCCTTGTACTCGTTTAAAGTTTTTATAGTTTTGATACTACTAACTTTAACAAAATTTGGCAGACTTTCAGTAAACATTAAGCCTCTCACATACAAAGAATCATATTTTTTAGTGAAGTATTTTTAATAAACTAATAAAAGATTTGTCCGTGAATATATATATATAGTTATTTTTTTTACTAGTTCGAATGCAATGTAGTTTCATGTTAAGATTAATATTTTTCTTCATCTCAAAAATCTCAAATTTCATTTGCATAATCTCTAAAACCTCTTAAATACATTTCAAATGTTTGTTTTCAGTAAGACTTTACATTTTATCTGTTATTTTCTCTACATAACTCTATACAAAGTTGGTCAATTTGACTGACCTCGTAACCACCAAAAAAAAAACATCTAAATAAATTTAAATTACCCTTTTTTCTTTCTAAAATGACATCAAATTGTAACATGAAACTACATTCGTATATCCTAAGTAGCTTTAAACTCATAATAGTGTACATCTATTTATACTTAAATTTTATTGTTTTATTGCCCTTTGAACTGTGTCTAACTACTATTCAAGCCATTATAAGTTGTAAATCACTTGAGTAACATATTGCTCATGTTACGCTATCGAATTACATTACCCACGAGCTACTCTGAGCTACATGCATGCCTTGTGAAACATTCTTATTATATCATTATCATTTATTGTACAAACTTTAACATTAACTAACCTAAAGAGATTCCTATTTTTACATTTTAGTTACTTTTATAATAATAAATAAAGAATAAACATGAAAAATTAGAAATAAAGTACTTACTGTCAACTGTTGATGACACTTAACCCTACTTTATTTTATTATAGTAATGGTAGTCGTGCACTAAATAATTTGTATTTAATTAAATAATGCATCAAAGAATATGAAATAATAAAATCCAAAAAGCAGACAATTTCCCCTAACTATCACAATTTTTCTGGCTTTCTAACTATGCAACAAGAGCCATTACAAATTCATCCAAGCTAGTCGTTGTCTTTCCCATGGGAGAAAATCTTGCACTAACAGAGAAATTGACAACTCTCCCTTCAGAAAACAATATAATATAATACGTCACTTGATAGATGAAAACCTTGGCTTTCTATTGGTTATACATAATATAGAATTAAACATAAGAGAGATCTATTAACAAATTTAGAAAGAGAGGATGTGACAGGTGGGTGTGGCAAGAGGGGTTTGATTTTCTATTTAATGGCTCTATAACCAAACAAAATTGAAGGCTATAAAAATTATGGTTTGTCTGAGCAATGATAATTTTATAGTGAGTAATTTACATTAAATTTCATACTTATTGGAGGGGTGGTGAATAAAATAGAGAAGAGGGGATGCCTAGAGTAAATATGTCACATTTCTCATATTAAGGGAAATTCAGGATTTTTTAAAATATTGCCTTATAAAATTAAGAACTTAAAACTTATATGTTATTAAAATGTGGACTATTAGCTATGATTTTATGCTATACTAATTGGTAAAACAAAAGGCAGTTTAATAAAATTTTGAATGTAAGTCACTAAAACCTCATGACATGCACAGTAAATAATGCCCAGGCAGAGAGGGTTAAGTAATCAATTATGGCTGCTTTCATACTTCATAATAATTAATGGAAAACATAATAAATCAATGTGGAGAAAACAACATTTATGCATAAACTATGTATATTAACATGCAAAATATATAAGAATTAACCTGTTTGCAATTTTTTGGTGCTAATGATAATTTTTTTGTTGTTTTTTTACACACATGTCCTAGAAGAATCAACATATCACATAAAATTCACCAAATCTTCTCAGCTTTTGTCTTTGGAATGAAATTCTCCAATGTTTCCCAGGCTGGGAACACAACACAAAATTCCTTTACTTTTCTCAGTTTTCCTGACCCATGGGAACCACATAGCCCTACATCCATGTACTAAATTAACAACATAATGACAATGAGTCTTTTCACTTACTTTCAAACACTTGGCATAGATCGTTCTAATTTCAGATTTTTTCGCTGCAGCATTACACTGTGGACACTTGGCTCCCTGACCCTTTAGCCATCTTTCAATACAGCTGCGAAGAAATTAAAAAACAAATAACTAACATATTCAACAATAAAACATTTTAATCTGTAAGCTACTGGTACAAAATATGACAGTGTTATTTTATTACGAGTTACAGCTTGTACAGTAAGGAAGAATATTTTTAAAACAGGTACAACGTTTCAATCACTGATGCAATCGTTCTCAAGTGCACGAGTTTACGAGAATGATCGGACCAGTGATCAAAATGTCATATATGTTTTTAAAATATTATTCTTTACTGTTAAAGCTTTAACTTTTAATAAAATAATACTTATAATCCATAAGTAAACTCAAAATGAAATGATTAAAGTATCATAGTGTTGTTCAGAACAACTCGTATTTATTCAATTACAATAAACTGTAAAAATCAACATATGAAAACAAAATGCTTCACAAGTGTTTTCATCTATCAAAAGACGTATAATTTTATGCATTTTATAGTAATGAACTATCCATAAATTTCTTCAAAATTCCATGGAGGATGCCAATATTATTTCTGCAATTTTATCCAGAAACACCAGCCTTAACTGGTGTAAAAAAAAACAAAAAGAAACGGAATCTGAGCAGAAAAATCGGAATACTTTCATTTCTGCCCTCATTTTCTGACCACGAGTGATGTTGAAAGTCATAAAGCAAACAGAATACGTGATTTTCACTTATTTTGTACGAGTTAATGCAAGCTCAACATGGAGTATATTTAGATTTAACTTTCTACAAAACCCAAGTTTCGCAAGAGTTCCATGTCACGATGCTGTTTGTAATTGTCGCGGTTTACAATCTGTTTTTTACTATTAACAGATATCATTTAACTATTAAACTTAGCTGAAATTTATTTTTTCTTTTTGGACCTGATATTTGTGGTGTTTTAGTATCAGAGTTTTTTCCCAACCAATTTCTGTATCAGCATATAATTTCTTTTTATACTGTAACTTTTACGGTTTTTATTTTTACATTTACTTTAAATTTCGGAGATAATTTAAGTAATAAACCCACCTGTGATTTGCTCTTTTTTTGTCTATTTCTTTTAAATTTCTTTTGGCTAATCATCAATATGATTTCTGATTGACCAATAATTTTTATTCAGTGTTACAAAAGCACTTGAATCTTGTTTTAATATAGCTGTTAAAATACAAACATTTTAAGTAACCATGGTCTCGATAGTGGAGTTGTTTTATTTCACCCCCATAAAAAGTTACTGGAACGTGTTATACCAAATCCACAAATTGTATTTAAAAAAAACAAGAGTTTAAAAAGTGTGATCATAATGACAAGAGCTAGGGTTAAAAACTGGAATGGTTGGCATCTCTGATTTAAATTAAAGTTTTTTTGCAAAATGGATACCTACTAAAATACTAGTTGTTCCTTCCTTTTTATATTTTTTATTTACATTTTAGATTAATTAAATCTAATGATCTAAGTGGCATGCACCAATATTTATAATATTAAGTGGACATAATAATTAGTTTTGGCTTAAACAAAATTTAACATAAATTTCTTTGTCTAAAGAGTTTAAATCAGAATACACTGTAAAGGCTAACCCTAGAATTACCAACAGGATCCCTATAGATCCCACCGATTTTTTAAACACATTTTTAGGTACCAAAGAGCTTTTTTGGACTCGAATAACATACAATATTAAAAACTGTGATTACAATTGCAATTAATTCCACTAATTACATAAAATTAGTGATTTCACTGAAATGTTTTTTTGGTCAGTTCTTTACCTTGAGTGTTGTGACACGTTAAAACATAAAATTACCCAATCTTATGTAACATATAGTCTCCACTGGCAATGAATGATAAAAAAGTAAAATATGAAACTTAATGCCACAGGTAGTAACATGTAAACACTTTCATCATGCAACTTGCAACTCTGAATGACAAAGATGATAAAGAGGACAAGTTTCAGTTTGGACAAATGGGCTATATTAAACCTTTGACTGTGGCTGTTTTAAAGTATGCACAGAATTTTTGTGAGCCATACACGGAGGTGGAGTTTGCCCTTTAATGACGGTGAACCATTAGCAGGGGGTACGGAACAAAGCAGGGAGTATAGATTACTGAAGTTAAACATAAAATTTACAAAAACATATTAGCATTTAAAATGGGAAATCAACAGTTATCATGTATTTCTCACTTAGAATCCACACATATATACGAGTAACCACCAACCTCCAATTTTTAGATCCCACAATGAAAAGCATGTTTAAATAAAAAAATCCAAAGAATTAAAACTAACCTGAAACCAAAGAGGTGACCACACTTTAAAGAAACTAATCTGTGAACACCCGAATTGGTCCAGCGATCAAAGCAGATAGTACAAATCTATAACAAAGAAAACATAACATTTTGTTAAACTTACACTATCCACACTTCACTATAATTTTACTCCTTTTCAAAGTGCAGAGCGAAATCTAGAACTAATGTGAATTTATTTTGCAAATGAAACAAATTCATTATAAAGTATTACATTGTTGAATTTTGTTAGGTAATAGTAATACAACATCATAAAAAAACAACAGTGGTGAGAGACCATATCCTGTTCACCTTTTGATTATATTAAGAACTCACTAAAAGACATGAATTACAATTCCAGATAATTTTATCTATGTTAGTACCTGCCCATCTTCCTCAGACTCATCCAGGTTATTCTCTTTACACTTGGGAGAGATAGAAATTTTTTGGATGCCATTTTTTGGTTCTGATTTACAACCATCTGGATTTAATGAACTGCTAAGAACAGGATCACTTGATGTTGATACATCTCTATTATGTTGTTCTACTGTAGTATCACTACTAGCCGGCGCTACTGATGAAGTTTCAAGATGTCCCGCTGATCTTGTAGACTGTTCAATATTCTGTGGTACATTATTTATGAATGAATAAAAATTAAATTTTTCCACATATTCCTCTTCTAAATGATAAAAGCTTTTGTTGAATGAATTTTTGAACATTAACTTATCATTTTACAGTTATTTCTTTAGTAATTGCTAATTTTAAATCCTATAAGTTTGCCATAAATCAAGCCTTGTAATAATAGGTTTAGCCATGATGCAAAAGACACATCAGTTTAGCCATGTTTAGAGCAAGTACATTTTCACAGAGAGTTTGTCCTGAATTTGGTCATAAAAGCAACCTAAGGTTTTACATACACATAAATCAACCACGAATCACTTTGTTAAAAATAAGAAATATCATACATTTTGAAATTAGCAACCCTTTCCTTATCAAATTTTGTCATCTTTCTGATAGACACTACTACATTATCAATTAAAAACTACTTAACAAGTCACCCACATCTGAATTATCATTATCTTCACTTGAGTGCTGATCATTAGCACTTTCCTCTGATACTTCTGTTTCATCATCATCTTCAGTTTCAACTACCTCTACATCCATGCTGTCAGTGTCATCTGTTGAGCTCATCTTTAATTAGTTACTGTTGAGAAATTCTGAAATGGGCATAGTCTGCAATAAATTAAATCACGAAAAGAAATGGTTATTTGAAACATGACATGCTCTCTTATCATCGCAATGAAGAGAATACTAATTATTACACTAAGCAACATCTTTCTGTTGAGCTAGTATAAATAACACATGATATTGTTAAAAAAATCACTTTAATTATTTAAAACAAAATATCAGTAAATACATATCTCGTGTTGAATAAAATCTAAATTTTAGACACTTTAGAGTTTGGACTAAAACAAAGGAAAAATTTGTTGAAACTGAAACTTTGAAAGTCGTCAAAACTGACAAGAGTAACTAAAAATAAAATTAACCCAGTCAAATGAGAAATGACTTTACTGGTCTCAAAGTTTCGTAAAAATACATAAATAAAAACAAAAAATAAAGAAAAAATGTGAAGTTTCAACTCACCATTAAATTTATTATATTATTAATAAAATAATTTATGACAGTGACACCTTAACAGTACGACTGTTTCGTGGATGGTTAGACTTAGAGTTTAAGTTTAACTTCACTTTAAGGCTGGTCCTCATTGTACCAGTACCAATACTAATAGACTCTAGTATTCCTATAAAAATTAATAGTAACTATTCATAGATTTTATTCAAAATTTATATCCAGCTGATTTTAAACAAACTTCGAAAAATCACAATTTGTACTACATACAATGGCATTGGCAAAGTCTGTACAAAACATTCAATGAACAACTAACAATCGCTCATTTTTAATGCCGCCATCTGATGGTTTACAAGTTAAACTATAAACATGAATTTAAAAAGGGTCTTAATGTGGTTTTCGTCATTTTACAGACAAATCTCTTCATATTGATTAAAATGAGCATCAAACAGTGGTGCGCCAAGAGCAAGGGTATAGGGAGTATGTACCCCTTAGATAAAAATATAACGCTCTCATTCTAAAATGTTCTGTAAAAAAAAATGTCGCGTCTGAGATGTCGCCCCTATAATGAAGATATATATCGATCTAAACCTGCCTTAGAATGGCAAGTGAAATATAAATACATTATGTCTAGCTGAAATCGCAAATCCATAGACAGCTGAGAAATTGCACATCTTAGATGTGGATTTCCTGGGAAATCCAAAAACGTTGCTACGTCAGTGTGATTTTCAGGCATCCTGATTAACTAGGCATCAATAATGTATTGGCTGTAAAGCACATGAATCTATTTACACTTTCGCTAGACTTCAAATTATTATATTGTTACGTCTCTGGTCGTTTGTTAATTTTCCGTAAAAATTCTTTCCGAAGAAACTTTACCGATACAAGTCCTTT